AGATTTAGGCCTCTAAGTCACTTAGGCATTGAAATGCTGAGAGGAGCCTAAATGCCTTTAAAAATCTTGGCCTTAGCCTCTTTGTGCCTTACTTTAACCATCTGTAAAATGGGGATAATACTTAACCATTCATTTTCAACAGTCTAGTTGAACATTTTGGGATATGTTTCAAGGTAAAGCCAAAACAGAAGTTCAAAGTACTTCAACAGCAACAGCAACTGCTATACTCTTTTTTAATATAACTTTTGCACTTCAAATTGGATTTTCCTGGTATAAAAATCAGTTGCCAAAAGGTTTAATACTGTAGGACTAAAGCAGCATTTACAGCAATCTTAACTCTATAACTTCAGCAAAAGTTCTGCAGCAGTTATTGAAGAAATTTTAAATCTAGCTTAGCAAGAAGACTGTTTACTTATTTGGCTTTCTTGCAAAGACATGCAGGGAATTCAAGATCTTCTTTCAGGCACAAAGATCCTCAACATTCAGGGCCTTTATGGCTTTTAAGAATAAATTTTGCAGTTCAAGTGTTTCTTAAAGCAGCCAAGCCATAATTACTGCAAAGAATGTGTGCAGAATACTTAATTTCCTTCCCAGAGGATCATATATCTGCACTTTGGTTCAATAACATTGTTGTAGATTAAACTGTTTAAGGTTCAGTGTGTGAACAGCAGGAGAGCAATTACAACCCTTCCCTTTTTCTGTGTCCTTTAAGTAAAGGAAACTGAGTATTGTTTCACATGATTTTTGTTCATGTAACAAAATATTACAACAGCACTGGCTTTGGGGATTGGCAGCTGAGGGTCTACAGAGGGCAAGACACAGAGGAAAAGGCTGAGGATAGTGTCTGGAAAAGATAACATATTAAATAAATACCCCATTTATCACCCAGAAGTTAAAAGAAAAGTCCCCCAATTTGGGTGTGTATTTATTGTGCATTTCAGGAGAAGTGTCTTTAAAATGTTCATGCACAAAAAAAGAGGTGAGTTGAAAACAATTTTTTCAACCCAATCTCCTGATTTTTGAAATTAAAAGTAGGTAATACTGCATTGCTAACTATGTCTCTGCTGATCAAAGCACAGAAAGGAGAGAGAAAAACCATGACTAAACAACACAGGCTGTGAAAGATGTTTATTTTGTCATCTTATTTGGGTGGATCTTTGTTTGTGGGAAGTACTTAAATACCTGCAACTGCCACTCTCACAAAGTAGCTAAAATCCGGAGTAGTTAGCTGTTTCTGTTAGTGTACTTGCTCCACACATTGGCCTCACACAATTTGGTGAGGTCTCTGACATCCAGAGCCTCCTTGTTTGATCACTGCTTTTTCACAGTTCTCGCTGACATGTTATCTAAACATTTCAAAAGCTACTTCTGGCCTCCCATTCACACAAGAATCACCAACTATTCCTTTCCCAACACTTTAAGAACAATAGTCATCTTCAATATATTTTCAACATGGGCAGGTAACTTGTACTTTAAACAAGTAGCTCAGGAGTCACATTTATAAACAAAACCCTATAATATGACTGGCCACGCACGGCTAAAGATGTAGACAGAAGAATTTTCATGGTACTACAGAATAGTACCTTTCCCTCCCACAAACTAATGCACTGGTTCAGTGTTTCCCAAACTTGGGACGCCACTTGTGTAGGGAAAGCCCCTGGCAGGCAGGACCAGTTTGTTTACCTGCCGCGTCTGCAGGTCCAGCCGATCGCGGCTCCCACTGGCCGTGGTTCGCTGCTCCAGGCCAATGGGAGCTGCTGGAAGCGGTGCGGGTGGAGGGACGCTCATAGCATGTCCAGTTCTCAGTTTATGTTTCAATTGGGTGGTCTTTTCCTCTATTTTGATTCTACTTTCTACTGTATACTACATATTCCATTTACTACATTTTGTGGAGGAACAGGACAGGGGGGCCTTCTTTCCGATAGCCAAAGTTCTGGGCCTACAGGCCCCAAAACACCTCCAACAGAAGGCTGTCATGATGGTAACCTTTGTGCAGAGTAGAGAAGGCCTAAAAGCCTGAACAATACTGCTCAAATCAATTCTCTGCCAAAACCCAGACAAAAGTAGTCACAGAGGAGGGAAAGAGAGGAAGGAAAGAAACACAAAATATATTAACCGCAAGTTTATGAAATACATTAAGAAATTGCTTTTGCAAAGAGCTAATCACTCTTGCAGTTGTAGCTATCTGCAAATTCTCCAATTCCAACTATCTGCAAATAACCTATAATAGTTCCCCTTTAAGCATCTCCTGAAAAGCCCCCCTTAGCCCTTGTCAAAATCCCCCGGAAAATGACATGTACCAAGTCTTAAGAAATGTACCCAAGCTAGGGCCAAGCACCACCCTTGCAGAAAACCACCGAATGTCCCCATGCCCAATTACACCCACTTCTCGGAACATTAAGAAAGAGGACGAGGGGAGGAGGGAAGAGTGACCCCAACCCAACACCCCAGCTCGTGACCAACACGTGTTCACCCAAAGCCCGGCTTGTGATTTGTCCCCGAGCTCGTGTCCACTATATGCCCAGCTTATGATTGGTTCTTAATTTCTTAACTAATGACGTATTAATTGTATCATGCTTGTGGTTTTAGTAAATAAAAGCAGCCTGCGTGCTGCTGTTCAGGGTGCCAGCTTTCGAGCTGCACCCCAGTGCGCACTGGTTTGTATTGCAATAAAGGCCTCAGGCTCTGAGTCTGTGAACTAAAATCACTGCGTGGGTGATTCTTTCCACGACAATTTAAAGGAGCTTATTTTATTTGTATGTCTAACCAGTGAGACAAAATTTACAGCCACTTCTGAAGTTAAAGGAGATTGTTTCCCTTGTAGATCTGCAACACTGTCCTTTAATCATTGACTCAGTTGCCTTATACTCAACAATCAGACGCGTAGCTGTGCTGTATAGTCACTAATGTAGGCATAGTGAGCTAGTTATATGGACACTGCCTGCTGTTAATTTGAATGCCAATTAATTTTACCCATAAGGGATGTTTGTTCCATTTACTGCTGTCAGATTAGCAAAATACTGGGGCTCTAACATCTCCCTGTGGTGTCACAGCTTTACGTTTGGTAAATTACACTTTTTCTAGCCTTTATTCTGTATATCCACATGAGCCCCAGATGTGTGTTAATCCTATTAAGTTGAAACTAGTTAAGGCACTTTTTACTCACTATATTTTGCCACCTTCATTTCTTCTGAGGTCACATATGGTTTCATCCACTTAACGATTTAAAAGTTATCTGCTTGGTCCTTCACCCATCATAACAGTCTACAAACAAAAACAACAAGGAATCCAGTGGCACCTTAAAGACTAACAGATTTATTTGGGCATAAGCTTTCGTGGGTAAAAAACCCACTTCTTCAGATGCATAAACTCTATGGCAGCGCTTTAATGTCACTATCCCTTTCGCGCCCCCCTGTCGGTGGCCCTGCCGGGTCCCTACTGGCAGTGCTTTAATGTCGTTGCCCCTTTTACCCCACCCCCCACCCCCGGTCCACCAACGGGGGGGCATAAAAGGAGCAGCTGCCCCAGGGCCGATGATTTAAAAGGGCCCGGGCTACTGCAACAGCGGCCAGAGCCCTAGGCCCTTTATATCGCCGCTGGAGCCCCAGGCGGTGCGGGCCAGGCAGAACCGATGGCCTGGCTGGGGGACGCTGACCCCCAGCCCCGCCCCTTCCACACAAGGCCCCGCCCCTTCTGGAGGCCGGAGCCGGCCCCCGTACCAGTAAGCGTTGAATGTTACTTTCACCTCTGGGCTCCAGGTGTGGTCACTGCTGTCCAGACTTGTCATCCTAGCAGTTTAGTTATTGACTGCTTAATTATGGCTACTTTTGAGATTAAATTCTTTTAACAATGCTATTACAGCCTTGACTATCTTCACCGAAAGTCACAACAATGCTCTCTGACCACTGGGTCCTGGGGGAATTCCTCATTCTCTGGAAAATCTATATGTTGTAGTGTATTCGCCCTTGTATGAGCATAGCTTTAATTAGCAGCACTGATTCTGCACATGTAATGGGCAATGACCCCATCCCCACAAGCAACAAGGACAGAACCCAGGGTCACCTTCACCTCAAGCAATGGAGGTCTGTGCTTCCGAGAAGTAAATGCCTGTACTTTAGCACTGGAGGTCTGGATTGTATCTTAGATAACCAGTCCTATATTATCATTTTGTCTCGTGTGGTCAGATGTTTCATCACTCTGGATATAAGTTAAAACTGATATTCAGTAGGGGTCAAGAAGTCATTCTTTCCTTGGAAGTATAAATGCTGGTTCTTTTTGAGACATGGTAATTTCAGATCAGCTCATCTCTCAGGTTAGCTTCATAGCTATAATCCTGGAACTATCCCCTTCTGAACTTCCCCAGTATGCTTTTCAGGTACTGGTCCTTCAAATTTGGCAGGAACATGCACCTGCAAACTTAAAGTGGCTATTTTGCAACAGACAACTTGCTGCATCTTCCTCTATTCCAATTAATAAGAGTTCTCAGTGTGTGTTAAATATTCCTTTCCTTATCCTAAGAAATTGGTACATTTTCACAATCATGAATTGGTACAAAGTATTTGTGTTCAATTTTAACTGGTATCCAATATGGCATCTGCCCTCACAAGATACAGAATAATAGTACATGCCTGGCCACCTGTTGTAAATGTTGTTTGAGATACAATCCAAAAACTCCAGTACCATGCTACAGAACTTCCCCAAAAGCCAGGTAACTGTATCTGCTGATACACTGGCTCTGATTCTCAAGTTGCAAGTGACTGCATAAGGTGCAAAGCAATAGAGAGGCTCACAAAAAAAAATTCTGCCTCATTACTCTGGGCCATTCCTTAAATATCTGAGCAGAATCAAATGTGTTCCTTGTTTTAGGTATTAGAGAAATATTAACACGTCAGAGTGAAAGCCATCAACCTCACAGTTATCTGTTATGTTATCCATATTTTGGTAGACATCCTCAATAAGATTGCTTCAAAGACCTTTGCCTAAAGTTGCCCCAGCAGCGCTTCCAAAATGTTTCAGCCCTTCTATTTATTTTGTTTCCTCTAAGTCAAAAGACAGGGTTTTATTTAATTGTTCACATTAATCACAAGATTAAACCACAGTTTGAAGAGCCCCAGCAGAGACTTCTCCTTGTGTGATGATCTGAAAGAGACAAAACACTTAGTTCAAAAACGTTCCCTCATCAAGCAATTGAAATCAGAGTAACTGATTTGTTCTTGGTATTTGCTACACAGTCATATAATCACTGAATCAGCTCCCTCTCATAATACCTACATCTCTAAGTTCAAAATTCATCTGAAATATTCTTCCAGTCATCAATATCTCAGAATTGGGTTTCTAAATGTGTCCCCTTGTATCTTTCTTGATTAAAATATATTTTCCACCAAATATATTTACCCTATCCATGGTCAAAATTAGGAAAGTTTTCCCAATAATTGGAAAGAGGATATATTTCTGCAGCAATCTCATGATTAGTTAAACTGTACATATAAGGACACATACATTGATGTCCAGAAACCCAACAAATGTATAATTAGCTGAATTGGGACTCTTTGTGTAAACAGAATGACAGGACAATGACACCACTTATAGATAGAAATATTGGGTAAACCATATCCACTCTGGCACAGCATGATTTGAATGTCAGCCCTTATATGACTGTTACATGTACTTTAACAGCATAGTAATATTTCAGGAGTCAACAGATGACTGGATTTTGTTGCAACTAGTTTTTTTTTACTAGATTAAAATGCCTGAATTGAATACTGGATAAAGTATTAATATTTAGCAATTTTATATTTTCTCTACCCACCTACAAATGAGAATTGCCTTTGACAATCACTCAGTTGACTTTCTTCACCCACCATTTGTTAAATGACAGAGTCAGGATTGCAGATCACATCACATGTAGATAGGGTGACCAGATAGCAAGTGTGAAAAATTGGGACGGGGGTAACAGGCACCTACAAAACAAAAAGCCCTAAATATCAAGACTGTCCCTATAAAATCAGGACATCTGGTCATACAATATGTAGAAAGGAGTAAAGTTCAATTTGTATGGAGCCAAACTGCAATTTATAGTCACTCCAGATCCAGCCTTAAGACCCTCTTTTTCAGGCAAATGCTTCCATTTTGATTATTTGGTTTAATTTAATGAATGGAGCCAGCAGCACCAACAGACCAACAGTCATTCCAACCTAGCTGGATTATGCGATGATTGAGTTAAATATCCCCCAGGAATACTGTGACACTTTTTTGTTGGTGCCCAGGACTGTGAGTCACCATGTTACCCACCTACCTCAGAAGGGAGAGAGTTGCTGGTGCTAAACAGTGTGTCAGCTCCCTGAGTGCCACAGTATGTTAGCCATCTAAACAATCTACCCAGGACTCGTCTGGCTCCTATTTGCCTTGCAGGTTAACACCTGTTATACATCAGAGATAGGGACAGGTGAATAAACATAGGTTTTCTGGCAGAAATCCTATCTCAGCTAGTGACTTATACCTTGACACAGACTCTTAGGATATATTTTCAGTATACACACAATTTAAAAAAAATATCACTAGTACATACTTTTCACAACGATATTAATGTTCAGAGTGAACAGGCTTTCTTTTGATACCTTATGAGACACTATTTATGGATAAATGCCATGAAAGCAATGTGTTAGGTGTAATGAGTTTGTCAGGCCTGGTAGGAGTTACTATCACAGAGTGATGATCCTTTGGCTGCTGGCATCAACGGGCCTCTGCATCACAAAAAAACCAAGCATTCTTTAAATTATTGCACAAAAATAATTTGATATTGCATACATACATCTGCATATAACTGTTACGACAGTGGCACAGTCATCTAGTCAACCTCCCCACTGTCAACACAAAATTGTTCCCCATATTATCTTTTCTCTTTCATGCATATAGGTTTGGTTGGCACATTCCTTCCTTGTTCTCCATAGAACTGGTGGGCCGGAAGGGCTTGTATGGACTTGCAGGAGTCTCTGAAAAATTCTACTTGTAGGGCCAGGTTCAAGTAGGGACAGAATGAAACTGATACAAAGATAATTTCACCTCTGCCCTCCTGGAGCATTGAGCAGAGGAGATGGGTCGCAGCTCTGTGGGTAAGGCATGGTTTAAAAAGCTGAACAGGAGAGGTTAAGTAAAAAGTGAAGACGCAGAAGGTAGAGAGTCAGTAGATGTGTGTCTGGGTCCCCCAAGATGTACCAGAGCCACTTTCCCTGTGCTGCAGGAAGCACTTCCCAGTTGTCTTGATACTAAGTTGCAGAAAAACTACTAGGAGGTTCCCCCAAAGCCCCAGCCTACCTCACTACTCCTTCAGCCTCTGGTGCTGTGTGGGAATCAGGCAGCAAACATGGAAATCATGCCTTATGGAGCCAAGGAAGCACGAGGAGTGGCAACCAAGAAGTGGCACTGATCCCTGCCCATATTGTGCTAAACCACCAAGTGCCCTGGAGGAGTAAAGGAGGACTCTCCCTTTCCAAGCTGCGCAGTAAATGAATGGGAAATGGAGGATGAAGAAGAGAAACAACATGCAAAGACAGAAAACACCCTTTCGAAGATTGAGACTAGAGGAACAGCAGCCAATAGGGAACAGGAATGTTAGAGTTAAGTGGCTTCCCTCGGTGGAAAAGTCTGTATACCAGAGAATAAGGATTTAAAGAGAGGTGAATCAGGAGGAGCTAAGGGGCAACTGGGGAACTCATCAGCAGATGTTCACAAATGCATTGTCACTGGAGGAAGTGGCAGGTGCTTAGGGGATGGGGACATGGTGGGAGGAGGAGGTGTACTAGAGATCCAAAATAATACCGGGGTAAACTGGCACTGGAATGGAAATAGGGGAGAAAAATGGAAGGTTCTGGGAACTAGGTAGTAAGCATGAGGAAAGATGGGGCGGCGTAGATTGGTAGCTAGACTTTCACACAGCCTGAAGTGACAAACATTTTTAGGAGCCTATTGTTAAAGTATTGGCAAAACATCACTGCTCTGCAGCAAAATGTTAAGTCTACAGCATCCAAAGCCGCAATGCACAAACAGAATTAGGGTTGGAGTGATTAAATATCCATAATAAAATAAAGGAAAATGATCAATGTAATTACATTAAAATGCCTTCCATCCTAAAACATGTCTCCATTTCTCCAACATCCAGACTACAGGCAAAACAGTCTTTTTGTTCTTAACTAATTCCTCTCAGGACCTGTTAAGACTCTGGAAAATTGACCAAAGTTTCAATTCTCTAAATCAATAGCTATCCACTCTCCTGAAACTACATGGCAAAGGTATTTAATTTGTCAACAGCAAAAGTTCAAGCCAATTCAAGCATAGCATTATAGTGTCTGCCTTGACTTGCAGTTTGTTGAAAATGTATTATTCTGTGTCTGCAGAGAGAAGACATTAGCCAGATATACCAGAAATAGAAGATTTACAGATTCTCACAATCCCTGCCAATAAGCTTTACCATCAGGTTTTCTAAAACAATTCTTATATTGCACCTGGAACTTTGTATGCCTAGTTACTTCAAGGAGCAAAAGACCAACATCATGCACAAAATCCATTAGCACCACTAAACATGCAAATCCAAATACCATTTGTGCTCACCAAAAAAAACCTGTGCAAAACTATATGTGCATACGGAGACAAAGATGGGCACCTTTGAAAATTTAGCTGTTGAAAAATGCATAAGCCCTTTTAAGAGAACGACTTTAAAATTAATTCATTGTTTGCAGCTGGGTCCCAAAATGTTCCATAAGAATTAAGTTGAGTATATAAAGTTTTTGCTTCTCTTTTCTTGACTTCCTTTTCTAATTTGAGAGAGGATAGGATGGACAGAGTGTACAATCTCTTACCTCCACATCTCTTTTCTTCTCTTGATCTCTCATCCCTTTTTGGTTGAAACTCATCTGTCTGCACCCTACACCCAGAGTTGTGTATGCTTTGAAAAAAAAAATCCACATCAAAGACTGTCACTGTGAAGAATACTTCCTAGGGACGGTTTATATAATTCAGTAGATGGGGCTGGTAGTCAACCTATATTAGCTAGTGAGAAACTAGAGACAGCTAAACTTCTGAGTTTATGCTAATTTGGGCCATTTCTCTTTGTGCTTATATTTTTTAAACTGTCCTGTGTTACCTCATTTGCACACTGTAGTCACATTTTGAAACAAATCATAAGGTGTTGAATATATATAGCCCTCAAAGATGGAATATCAAGTTTCCGTACTGTCATCCACTCACCATCACACAAGGCAGCACGACAGCCTTCCTTAACAGATACTCAAGATAAAACATGGCCTCCCCAAAAACAATCACGTTATTCAGTTAGCCCCTTACCTGCTACTGCATGAGTTTTTCTCTTTAAAAATATGTTCTAATGCTTTGCAGTCAATCTTTAAACTTCTTAAGTGATAGGCCTTCAATCATTTCCTTAGGAAGACCACTGAGTATATCTGATGATTAAACTGCAAGTAATATTTTCTAGTTTGGCAGAAAATAAAATACCATAAAGGTGCCATACCCTACAAGGAGCATTTTCACATGCAATTTTGTCATTTCCATTAGTTAGAAAGCAATGGTGTGAAATAACAAGCCAGTACATCAGATATGCCTCTCTTCCATTCTCTAGTTATGGCAGGCTATTGTTTCATCTTACAATGGAGGTATCCTATCCTTGGTTCACTCAATTTACAACTCATTCAAATATTGTTGTCTCAGAAGTGTGACTTGCATTTAAAGGTTACTGGAACTGAATCTGCTAAAGAGAAAATATGTGGTTGAGGCTGAGTGGGGAAGATAGGTCAGGGGGCAAAAATCTAGGCTGAACATGTAACAGTGACCAAGCAGAGAAAAAAATTAACTCAGTATGAGAGACACAAAGAGAGGTTCACCTTTACTTTAATTCCATGAAGTTTGTCTATCTGAGGAATCCGAAATATTGTTTCCAAGTTGAAATTCTCATTCACCAACCTTCTCATATTTGAAGCTTTCATTGTCTAACCTTTAGCACATTTAAGAGTCATCTGTAACAATAATATGTTGCCTGGATACCGAGGAGACTGTAGAAACCAGTCCCTGCTTTCTTCTTCTCACCAAGTTTGTGGTGGTTTGAGCCCCACACTGCACAGGGGAAAACAGACTATCCTCTAGAAGTGCAATGATTACAACTAGGCACAATCACAGAAGGTTAATGGGAAAGAGAATTCTTATATCTGCCTTCCCCTTCCTGCACTCATACACAATCTTGCCTTTGGTGATATCTGTTGCCCCCTCCACCTTCTGCATGCTCTTGTTAATGTCTGTGTACGTTACAAACCTAGAGGGATACAACAAAGTTCCTTAGAATCTAAAGGTTCAGTACACTCTTCCCAATTCACAGAACCTGCACAGGTTCTAAAGATCACCCTCATTCTCCTCGCTAAAATATGTTCAGTGTTTGGCATTCTGCACCATGGGAGTGTGAGAGTCTATAGCCTTTATGTGATTTTCTTCTAACATATTCAAAAGTTTTTAATGAGAACCCCAGGGCTAGGGCCTACTTGAAACTATTAACAACAATCCTTGTTCTGTACAGCTCAGGGGAAAATTCAGGCAACAATTGCTAAACAAATCTTCAGTTTAGATTAGTAGCAAAAGACTTACTTATCTGGTTTTCCAGCAGAGACCTGCAGGGAAATTGGGCTCTGTTTCAGAGCCTCATCTCCCATGCACAGATGCACAACAGTCACTCAGTCATTTTTGCTAAAGTTGTCAAATGCTTCATGGTATTTTAACGGATTGTGGTACCAGAACAATTATTCTTTAAGGAGACTGCACCTCTCACAATTTGACATAGCTCAGTTTGGCCACCTCTCTATTTGAGGTCAAATCATTAAAAGTCCTTGACCGTGGAATTAGGGTTTCCCCCCCCCTCGATTGTATAATTGATCTTTAAGTTTGTTAAGCATATTGTCACAACCCAATGGCCCCCTCCCTCAGGCAGATCAGCACTGTATGTTGCTAACGCTGTTTCAAGCATCGCGAGGCATTTTGGGAAGGGTTAAAGGTGTGAGTGTGGAGTGGAAGATTCCTTTGCAGGTTGCGAGAGGCCAAGGGGGGGGGGAGGGAGGAAGAGAGCAAAGAACGGGTTAACTCGACACTTCAGCTAGCTCAGTCTGAAAATAAGATGCTGGCCCCAGTCCAAGGTCATGGCAAGAAATCTGCAGCTGCATTCACATTTTACCCAACCCCAGCCAGCCATGAGAAAAGGAGAACTAAGCTGAGCAGGACTGCAAAGAGTGCAAAATCAAGCAAGACGGCGAAGGCCAACGGGAGGGAGGGGGAGGAGAGACAAGGATTCGCGTCCCTGGAGCCGGTGTGTTTTGGGAAAGCTAAAAAGGCCACAGAAAGCCGGTTTGGACAGGTACAAAGAGTACCAGGAGCAGAGGTCCCTGAACAAAACACCCCCAAAAAAACCCAGGACTTAAAAGCTCTCCTGAGAGCCAAAGCAAGTTAGAGATCAACAGCCGACCCTGGACGGCCCGTGCACGGGACAAGAACTCCCATCCACCCCTGCCCCTCTTCTTCTTACATTACACCCAGGCTTAGCCAGCCTCAGTTAGTGCAGGTGTGAGTATGAAAGTGGGTTAAGGCTTGGGACACTAACGCTTTGCTTTTTCCTTCCTCGGAGTGACGTGGGGGATCCCCAGCACTTTCCACTGTTATTTTACTATTTTATTAATAAAGATTTAAAATTCAGTCACTTGGTGTGCTCCTCCATCTCTTCCCCTAAAGATCCTGCAGCCTCAGCCTGATCACCTGAGGGGCAGATTGGTAACATAAATCTGTCATAATATTGATAAAACTGGATAAATGAATTTTAAATTTTAGGCTCGAACCGGCCAAAGAGTTTCCAATGGAATATTGTTCCACTGAAAAAATGCCATTGTCCTACTATCCGGAAGGAGGACAGGGGGCACTGGCTGGGGTTTTAATTAGGCCACAACTTTATTCTTAATAGTCTGGGAGTACCCAGCAGATAAAATTTTACAGTGCAAGGAATTCCATGTAACATCTGCTATCAGCCCTCCCACTTTGCAATCCTGGTTCCATCCAGACTGCTGGGACCCTGCCGCCCAACCCTCAATACGAAGTTAAGGGGGGGGGGAGACTATAAAGGGGCAGTTGACTCCCTGCCATACCACTCGTAGGAACTCTGAACCCCCTTTTTCCACTTCTTTAAAGGATTAGGCATTCTTTACCAGTGAATTTTATCAGATCACTATATCCATTCCATCCAGAGTACCTGCACTGAACATCTGCCACAAGCTTACATAATCAATTGCAACATCATAGCTTAACTCCTTTTCCCTACCCACAAGGTCTCTAACCCACTGTGGGAAAGGCAAAAAGCCACCTCACGTTGACCAGACTGGTGGTGAGGAAAAATTATTTTTCAAATACCCTGAGAAAAGGGGCGACTAATGTAAAGCATAGTTACGAAACCTGCTGTCTTAAACCACTTCCATGGATGGGAGGGTGAGTGCTGCTAGCCTGGTCTGGAGGACTGGAAATTTCAAATGTTGCCATTTTATTCAATGTGGAACCAAAACAAATTTCAAAAAACACAGAACTTCACATGAAATGAAAGTTCTGGTTACTTTACAGCTGTAATGTACACACATGCAGTTTAGTGCATATTTGGTATTCCTAAGGGTAGATACTGACAATTTATATCAGTGGTCTTACATATTTCACTATTCCACTCTTAATTGAAAAGGAGGGGAATTTAAGTAGAAAGTAAATGGAACCCTACATTCACTCACTGTTCTCTTTGCTTCAGTGGGTCAGCCCATATGGTTCTCAGTGCAGGATAGAGACCTATGGTTTTAGTTGGCTTGTAGAACAATTTTTAATTAAATATTTTCAAAAATTCAATAAATGGAATCAACAAGTTCTTTCACAAACACTATGCACCTAGGTCCTTAT